TACAGAGAGCGCCTGCCCCTCTTCAAAGTCTCTAAATACAATTAAACCAATACAATAGGCGGTTGCATATTGTTATGGAGAGAGTGCCTGACTCTCAAGTCTAGACATTAGTGGGTTGAGAGCAGTAAACTCAGCTATGTTCCATTTCTGTGTTGTAGTATTTTTTTTGTAAAAAGGAGGGAATTGGTCATAGTGATTTCCAAGGTCTTCTTTAGCCCTAAAACCCTTAGAGTCAATGACTATAATGGCGTTTGTGGCCTAATTCAAAGCTAAAAGTTTTGCCTTTTAGTTCAAAACCAAAGAGCAATATTGCTAATGAACTAGTGCTTTTATGCACCAGTCCTAAAAAGTTCATCACTGTATAAGAAGATTGTTCTGTGTTGGGACCAACTTTCATTCTGGGGAGCTGCTTAGATATTTCTAGAAACCGTCTAAGTAATTTGAATCTGAACTTGAACCCTTGTGGTGAGCTTGATTTTTGTCCTTAATATACTGTATTTAGAAAAGCAATTTTTCTTTCTCTGGCTTTTGCAGTTCCTTGCACATAGCAGGCACTCCATAAATATTTATTGAATTGAATTTGACCTGCCTAGAAGTCATAGTCCTGGTGTAGGGTTATTCATTTTTGGCAGGAGTTGTCATAAATCGCAGAGTTTAATACTAATTCAACTGATCAGCTCTACACTCAGCAGCATATCATAGTTTAGGATTGTATGTTACACTTGCCCAAATGGAAATTTAGAAAACTGTGGCCTGCAGAGGCCTTGATGAACTGAATCTCGCCTGTTTTAAATCTTCTTGTGCCCCTCAACCCTAGGCTTCCTGTGCCTTCTACCGTTTAGAATGATTGCATGGACTCCCTTCTTTCTGATCTGTTATCTAGTGTCTCCCAAGCCTTTGCATGCCCTTTTGCTGGGAATATTCCTTTTGCAAATCTAGGTGTGCCTTTCTTGATACCCTCATGTCAAGATTTGAGTGAGCTGCTGATTTTCTCCTCCAGCATGTTGTACTCTTCTCCATTACAGCAGTTAAAATCTCCTGGAATTCTTTTTAAGCCATCAGTCTTTTTCACTAGAAAACTCTTTGAGGACAGGTCTGTGATTTATTTCATTCTGCATTCCCTAGGGCCTGTAACAATGCCTGACACAGAAGGTTTGTAGAGTTAACAAATGGGTGCTGAAGTTCATGTAAATTTGCACATGGCGTAAAAATAAAAATGTAAATGAGGTTAGCCAGGGATCATTAATTATATGCCTAATTCTAATTAAATTGTGATATAGTTAGAAGGAAGATCAGCCTGAGATTCAGAAGATGCAGGCTCTTGTGGTAGATTAATGATTTTTTAATAGTCCCTTAATCTTTGTAGTTCTTAGTTTCTTTATCTGAAAATGAATGGATTGGACAGGATCTTTCCTAAGATCCCTCAGAGCAAGAATTACATTGCTCCAAAGTTAATTATAGAGAACTAGGTCTCTTCTGCCAGCCTCCTTGAGGCAGGAAGTATGTTGTAGTCATCTATAATTCCCTGGCAGTAAGCTCAGTACTTGGCATATAGTAGTTATGCAAACAATTGTACCGAATAAAACAATAAATTCCCAGGTAGAATTAAATTTAAATAAAGCAAATAAGAAAAAAGGTCAGGTAGAGAATAGCAAATTAAAAATCTGTGACACTTAAAAAAAATCTGTTAAAGAACATTTATTTGGAATGTCTGAAGAAAATACCTGAGAGAAATTTTTTTTTATCAGTTAAAAAGTTCACCAGTAGAGGAAATTAATTTGAAACTGCGTAGTCCCCTAACTACAAGTTAATAATTTATCAATCTGTGACATGCTGTAGCAAGTTTTATGTCGCTGAAATTAAACTGTGCCTGCTTGCTGTACGATGTTGCTGGCAATATTTTTGAAATTTGTGCATACTTGTGATACTATTTTATAGTTTTAAGACTTGAAAAACCATATCCTGTTTCAACCAGGATTTTTTAAATCATTGACCTGTCTGGGATTTCATCAGTCTTTAGGGCAGAATGAGCTTCTCTGATTATATCAAAATGTCACAAAATAAAAGGAGGGTAAAAAGCCTTATCAGACCCTTTAACTATACTTTTCTAATGATTTGGCATTATTTAATAAATTGTATGGCATCTTACATTTCCAAGAAATGTAGGAAACCAAAGTAATATTCTTACATTTAATCTTTGGTTATGCCGTTGGATTATTGATTTGAATACTAGTATATTCAGTCATGAAAATAAGGAATTAATATAATACTATTTATGTATATATGTATAATATATAATATATGTAAAACATATATATGTATAATATATAATATATGTAAAACATATATAATATATATGTATAATATGTATGTATTATATATATATGTAGTATTTTAGAGAATCAATCAACCATGCCATCTATAGATCCACTTATGGGTTCTGTACTATATGCTAGATACTTCTGTTTTAGGCATTGTGTGCAACAAGGAGGAAGATATGATAATGCCCTGGTTAACGTGAGAAAGGGTTGTCTTAAATTAAGGGCTGATGCTTGATAGTTTAAGCCAAATTTTTCTCCCCACCAAAAAAAAAATTGTATGGTTAATTCTCAAAGGAAGTATGATAGTAAGTGTGAATATTGTTTTCATTTGTTGGTTCCTGGATTTATTGTGTTTGTGGTTCTTGAAATTATTACTGTTCAACTGTTTCCTACTTGGCTCAGGTACTTTTATGAGTAGCCAGGAGTAAATCCATATTTTGTAGAACCTGAAATTTGGAGGGATCCTTTTAAAGAAAAATAATACAAAGGTACACATATGAAATTGGGTATGAAATTGAATCTTTTTAGAGTGATAAAACATCATACGTTATAAATTTTAAAAAGCATTGGTAGATAGTCAGAAACATCAGAGACATAATCTCCACTCTGGACACTTTATACTTTGAGTTTCTTTCATTGCCCATATGTATTTCCCACCCTGGGTACCATTGGGCATGTACCTTACCACATTGAATTGGATCTTCTTGCCTCTATGCTATATGTGCTGCTTGCTGGGCACTTGAAGTATTCCCGAATCCATTTTTTTTTAAAATTTCATTGGCTGACAGTATTTTAACCACTTCTGGAAATAACTGCATCTCACCATACCTTCTGCTAAAGCCACAGGAAATGTATGTTCAACTCAAATTCCCATCAGCCAGATTTGAAAAATGCCCATAGCCACTTCAGTGCCACCCAACAGGAGGCTAAGTGGGATAAAAGGGAAGTCATCCTGGAAAAAGACAGAAATCATAAGCAATTGTGTGTGTGTGTGTGTGTGTGTGTGTGTGTGTGTGAGACTGAGAGAGAGAGAGAGAGACAGAGAGAGACAGAGAGAGAGGCAGAGAGAAAGAGAGAGAGAAGTTGAGAACATGAGGGGGAAGAAGCAGAGAAAGGGAAAGGAGAGAATCCCAAGCAGGTTTCGCTCAACGTGAGCCAAAATCAAGCTGTCAGAAGCTTAACTGACAGAGACACCCAGGAGCCTCTTGGGGCACCTGGGTGGCAAGAGGCTCCTGGGTGGCTCAGTTGGTTGAGCATACGGCTTCAGCTCAGGTCATGATCTCACAGTTCGTGAGTTCGAGCCCCGTGTCAGGCTCTGTGCTGACATCTCAGAGCTTGGAGTCAGCTTCGGATTCTGTGTCTCCCTCTCTCTCTGCCCCTCACCTGCTCACTCTCTCTCTCTCTCTCAAAAATAAATATAAAAAAATAAAAAATTAGAATCTCTTGCTCTTGAATGTGTCCCAAAAATATGTGATGAAGGCCTAATAGAAGGCTAGCTACTTGAAGGACTATCAAGCTTCTGCCTCACTGGCTTCTCAGTAAGGCTGCCTTTGTTTTGTGCATTTTGCTTGATGTGAGGGTGTGCACCTGTGCAGTGTGTATGCTCTTGGGCAGTAGCCAATGAATTCATTTACAGATTATCTAATTGGGTGGTTTCTTATGCCTTGGTTTGAGGGATAGGAGGAATAAGATGAGTTAACTTACTTTTGACGAAATTACATGCACACGTGGGATTGACGATAGTAGTTGAATTGCTACCTTTTCATCCTAGCAGAAGATATTTTCAGTTCTGCAGGCAGCTCCAAATGCCCCAGTGGTTGGGTGACACCCGATGGAATGACTGAACCATTATGGAACACATGTCTACGGGCACGGGATATAATATGGGGAGGTGGAAGAGACTTGCTCTGACCTGATACCCATTTACTACTTAATAGCTCAGTTATTAAAATTGCACCTCTTTGTTTTATTCTCCTTAGGGTTCAGGAACAATGTGCCAAAACATTAATTAAAACCTATGAAAGAGCTTTAGCTGGGATTTCAGTGTAGTAAAATGATATCTATGTGAGATGTTGGTTGCCAGCAGAAGACACCCATTTCCTAATTTTTATTTAAAAAAAGAGACTATAGGGGCACCTGGGTGGCTCAGTCGGTGAAATGGCCGACTTTGGCTCAGGTCATGATCTCGTGGTTTGTGAGTTCAAGCCCTGCGTCTGTCTTCTGCTGACAGCTCAGAGCCTGGACCCTGCTTCGGAATCTGTGTCTCCCTCTCTCTCCGCCCCTCCTCTGCTTGTGCTCTCTTTCTCTCTCAAAAATAAAACAAACATTAAAAAAATCTTAAAAAGTGACTATAAGTGGTACACAGTAATTAGTACAGTGGAATTCTGTGAAGCCATGAACAATGGGATACTGTAAAGGAGAGAAAGAAGACTTTAAAAGTAGCAAGTAAAGGTGTGACATAGTAGGAATGAATGGGAGGAGAAGAAAATTGAACTTAATTATATCAAGAGAGATGCAAATATTTACCAATTCTTTGTAAATTGGAGATAGTAATTTTAAGACCAAAATTTATATTATAGAAAATGAAGAAATAGTACAGTTTGATGAATTTCATAACTTTTCTATGAAAGGAATTATTGTGATTCATATGAAAGTGTTTTATTTTTGTCTCTTTTTTAGGTCAGACTGTGCCAAAATCCCAAACTTCAGTTGAAAAATAGCCCACCATACATACTTGACATTTTACCTGATACATATCAGCATTTGCGACTTATATTGAGTAAATATGATGACAACCAGAAACTTGCCCAACTCAGTGAGAATGAGTATTTTAAAATCTACATTGATAGTTTAATGAAAAAGTCAAAACGGGCAATAAGACTCTTTAAAGAAGGCAAGGAGAGGATGTACGAAGAGCAGTCACAGGACAGGTAAGAATATTTCAGATTTGTTTAGTTTTTAAGTCATAAGGTCATATTTATGTTGCTCTTTAGTACATTGCATCATAGTACAAATGTCATCTTTTTTTTGGAAGAAATACTATATTTGTGTGTTTGCTTTTCATATTATTTAAACCTTGTAGTTTTACTTAAATTTCTTGATGATAATAACTACTTCATGAGACGCCATTCTTTTAAAATAGACTTTAGTTTTTAGGACAGTCTTAGGATCACAGAAAAATTACTCCCAAGTACATAGTTCCCATCTACCCCTCTCTGCCAACATGTTTTCTCCCGTTATTACATCTTGCATGTGTGGTACGTTGATGAACCGTAGTGATATAGCAGTAGTAACTAAAGCTCATAATTTATGTTCAGATTCAACTCTTTATATTGTACAGTTCTGTGGGTTTTGACAAATACATAATGTCATGTATCTACCATTTCAGGATTATATAGAATAATTTCACTGCCCTAAAACTGCCCTGTGCTCTGCCTATTCATTGCCTCTTCACCCCCTGGCCCCACACTACACACCTGCTGAGCACCTGGCAACCCCTTATCTTTTTACTGTCTTGAGAGTGTTTCTTTGTTTAGCATGTCATACAATTGAAATCATATAATATGTAACTTTTTCAGCCTGGCTTCTTTCACTTAACAGAATGTGTTTAAGGTTCTCCCTTGTCTCTTTATAGCTTGATAGCTCATTTCTTTTTATCAGTGAGTAATACTCCATTACATGGATGTACCTCAGCTTGTTTATCCATTCACCTGTTGAAGGATATCATGGTTGTTTCTAAGTTTTGGCAGTTATGTATAAAGCTGCTATTAGTATTCGTATGCAGTTTTTATGTGGACATAAGCTTTCAGTTCATTTGACTAACTATCGAGGAGCATGAGTGCTGGGTCCTGCGGTAAGCCTGTGTTTAGCTTTGTAAGAACCCACTGTACTGTCTTCCAGAGTGGCTATACCCTTTTGCATTCCCACCAGTGATGAAGGAGAGTTCCTATTGCTCCCCATCTACTGTACTTGGTATTGGAGACATTGGAGACACTGTCTTTGAGACGCAGTCTTTTTTTTTTTTTTTTTAATGTTTGTTTATTTAGAGAGAGAGAGAGAGAGACAGAGAGAGACAGAGCAGGAGCAGGGAGGGGCAGAGAGAGAGGGAGACACAGAATCCGAAGCAGGCTCCAAGCTCTGAGCTGTCAGCACAGAGCCTGATGCCGGGCTTGAACTCACAAACCGTGAGATCATGACCTGAGCTGAAGTCAGCTGCCTAACCAGCTGAGCCACCCAGGCGCCCCAATTTAAGATGCAGTCTTGACTGGATATGTGTGTGTGTGATAGATGTAGGTGGGCGCTATAGCTTGATTCTCCGTGTTGGACTGTTAAGTGAGAAACTGAACAGGGGTGGCAAAGACTGAAGGGGCGTCAGTTGAACCCTCACTTTACAGCCAGGATTCCAGACTCAGAGACTCCCCTTTAAAGTTTGTTTGGCTATTTCAGTGTTAAATTTTATGATCTATCTTAAATCAAATGAAGAAAGTTACTTTTCCATTTCTGAGATATTTTAAATGTATCTAGGATATTCGCTGATAGTGATAGTATATTTAGATTTCTAAATTTGAAAACAAATATTAATTAAAATATATACCACTTTAATATAGTTAAGTTGAGTTTTAATTTAAGACACTTAACCTCTGTAGATTTTAGTTCCCTTACATTTAGAGAAACCTCTAGGAAACGTCTAATGTTTCTTTCAAGTCAGAAAAACTAGCCTCATTCAGTCTGGTAAGACATCAGGTTGTATAATAGCAAGTTCACTTATCTAGTTGTGTAGACTCTGAACTTGTCTGTAAATACTGGCCAAACAAATACTCGGAGTCAGTAAAACCATCAAAATCAAACACAGAAAAACCCGTCTGCCAAAATGTAAACTGGCATAAATGTTTACTTATTTATAATTTTCTCTCTAAATTAGTGATGAACCTAACGTAATCATACGTGTTAACCAATTGTAAATATGAGCTCATTACTTAATATACTTGGATCACAGTTTATATGTTTTGAGGGTGGTGAATCTTGCAGTTGCCTTTTAGTTTTAAAGCTCTGAGAACTCTCTCCCAGACTGCCACGAGGGGCTCGAATCACCACATAGTGTCAGAAGTACAGAAATATCATAGTGATTGTTTCTTCTTACAAACCTTTCAAGAATGACCAGAGGTATGGAAAACCAGCCATTTATGTTTAAAACTGTATTTTTACTTTGTAGTTCTACAAATGATCTAATAAAATCAGGTTGTTTTATAATTGTCTGTATACTTCTTATTCACATTTAGTAGCCCTGAAATCTGTTGGGAGTCAGCAAAGAAATCCATTTAATTTCACTTTTAAGGATACTGGGTCAGTGAGAAGACATGTAATTTCTCAGTTTAGGAATTTGAGTGGATATAGTGTTTTCATTGGATGTAGTCATATATGATGTGGTAAACTTTACCCCACTTTTATAACTTCTTTAGAAACTTGAAACATTTCCTGACCCAGTAGATGTCTTTATAATTACCATTTCATCTACAGACTTTGATATTTTGGGCTTTTTATGTGGGAGCATATCATGGGAGAATCTCTATAAATGTTGGTTACTTGTATGTGGATTCCCACAGATGATGACAGGTTGCATAATGCTGATCGATCACATTGAGGAGACTCTAAATTCTGTGTTTCAAGTGTCCAAGTAAATTTTGTCACTCTCCTAAATTCAACCTTAAGACAGAGTCTATTAGTTTCTATGCTGGTATAGCGTGTTCCTAAATGAATTTTGCTGTCATCCTGTTCCATTTTCTAATAGTGTTCTTTGACCACTGTTTTTATGCAGAACTTACATTTGACACACATTTAATCAAAATTCATAATAATGTGCCATTCTTGGTACACCATACCAAGAACATAGGTTTTGATTTATGTTTCTTTTGGTAGTTCTGTATTTTTACACATTCATTTTTAGGTTGCCTTTGGAATTTAAATGCAAGCTGGGGCTAAAGTATGCCATTGTACATGGAGCTGTGAGACATTTTGCTCTATAGAAAATAAAAAATTTCTTAGCGTGTTCTTATGGTCTTTAGGCAACAAAGTATTCTATTTGGTGGAATGACTCTTATCTAACATGGATGACAGTGGTTACTGGGAATATTATAAATTCTCTCAACAGTTTTTGCTTTTGTAAATAATGTCAGTAGGCATATTCGTATTATTAAGCTAAAACTGAAGGGTGTAGTAATAGGAGATAGTCATTTGGAGCCCACTGACTACACCAGCATTGCCACAAGCAAATTACGTACTTTATTGAGAAAAAGTATGCTGGATGAGATCATGAATCCAAAAGTTTATTTTAAGGTTCCTGCTGTGTCAAAAAGAAACTTCTTTGTGGATTTGTTTTAAACGTTCGGGGCTCCTGGGTGGCTCAGTCGGTTAAGCATCTGACTTCGGCTCAGGTCATGATCTCACGGTTAGTGGGTTTGAGCCCTGCATCAGGCTCTGTGCTGACAGCCAGCTCAGAGCCTGGAGCCTGCTTCAGATTCTGTGTCTCCCTCTCTCTCTGACCCTTCCCTGCTCTTGCTGTCTCTCTCTCTCTCAAAAATAAATAAAAAAAATTAAAAAAAAATTAAACCTAAGGGCAAATGGGAAAGTTTCAGGTGTCAACTTTGATTAAGCTCGGTTTTAATTAATTGCTGAAATATAAGTGCCCTGAATTTTTAAAGCCGTTTCACCTAAATGTGACAAATACAGTAAACAGGAAAATAAATAAGGATAGCAAATGGCATGCAGTGTATTTTTTGTCTATAGGTGTGAGGTGGAAAGTTTATTTGCCTGTGAAATAGATACTATGGGCGTAGTGCAAACCTCTTACTTGGAGAACCGGGTGGGATGATGATTTCTGGTTAGAGGCATGCCACGGGCCTTACTTGACTTTTCTAGTATCACTTCTTCCAAAATTTTTTGTTTGTTTTTTCTGACAGACAGTTGAACCTTATGCTGAGCTAGTGTATCTCCAGCCGAATGTCTCAACCGTTCTGAGCTGGTATTTCTTTCTGGGGAAGAAAGTTTTTGTGTGTATGTATGGGGTAGGGGTTGGAGATCATGTAGAGAAGGGAGAATTTGTAGTTTCAGGCACAGAGAAGAGGCGAAAATTCATATCGTATGGCTTACATTTTTAGTGGCAAAAGCCCAAAATGAATGTGAGGCTAACAAATGTAGAATTAGAGCCAACAAATGTAGAATTGCCAGGAGGGACTTTTCTTCAGTGATATGACTGGCAGTTTCATCAGCTGACCATTTTAATAGTAAAATTTACTCTTTCATGTAAAAAGTTATGTGTTAATTACCTGCTAAGCAAGCCCTGGTGTTGGACACTGTTTTAGAACACCCAGTGGTGATGGCCTAAGGATACTCAGATTTTCCATATTTCAGAGCTGCTTCAGTGAACCAGAGTGCAACAAGCCATTTTCCCCTCCCACACTCTGGTTTACAACCACTGAAACAAAACCAAAAGTCAAGTGAGGTGGAAAAAATAGTTCTGTATTTGATAACCCATCAGTGTAGAAAATAAAGGCTTTTAAAAAATTCACACCAGAGAATGAATGATACATAGATGTTGTCTTATTATTAACTTCATTTCAGAGCCCCTGGGCCATTCCTAATGCACATATATTGTAGAAAATCATAGTGTGTGTAGCTTTTATAATAATATTCGTTCCAAGTAAGATTTTTTTTAAAGTATTTCGACATAGAAAAATTAGTCCTGGAAGATGCTAGCCTTTATTTAAAATCCTTCAGGAGTATCAGGCAAAAATCGTCCTCTCCACTGACCGTTTGAATGAACAAAGAAAAATGCTATGTTAAACCTGCTGTATTAATAAAGTGCCTTTCCCCCTAAAAGACTACAAATCACTATGCTTGCTGTTTATGCCCGTGTTGTAATTTATGAGATAGT